TCGGCACCGAAGTTACCGAAAATAAAACACCACCGGAAATTTCTGCCTTTACATGTCCACTCTAAGCAAGAGCATGTATTATGAGAGTATGTACTAAGCAATAGTATGTATTATCAGGAGTATGTACTAAGCAATAGTACGTATTATCAGGAATATGTACTAAGGTAAGTTCCACTGCATATGTAAAGTAAAATCCACCACACCAGGGAGTAGTAAAATACCGGTATTTTCCTACTCCCTGCTCCACACCAACTGCTCACCGTAGTTGTATTCTGTGCCGGTCCGGACAAGGCTGTACGGGAGCGGAAACAGCGAGCGCTAACGTTAGCACGTGTGTACGCTACAAACACGGGGAACACCGCTACAGCGCTGGCAGTTAGTGGGCAGAAGAGGCGAACGGCGCTGTGGTGTGATTCTGGCACCGCTTCGAGTCCGTCGCATGCCATCACGTTCCGAGCATGCTCACCATCCGGGGTGAGTTTGAACACGACCGTGCTGGCATTGCTGGAAACAGTTGCGGCGTTGACGGTCGAGAGAGGTTGGCCGGGTGATGCCGTGCTCCCAAATATGGCGGCATGGCCGTGAGTCTCTGTGTAGGTGATGCCGTCCTCCGGGTAGAGGAACACGGCGTACGACTGGCAGAACAGAGAGTGCCGCGGGCAGTCGTCGCTCACCAGGACTGCTTGGAAGGTGTTCTTCTGCTTGCAAGAATCAAGCAGACAAGGCACACATACACACAGAGGCACACAGAGACACAGAGACATACACACAGAGGCATGCAGGGACATACACATGCACACATACATGCAGAGACATACACATGCACGCACATACAAACGGGCATACATTTTGAGCACTGTGAAGCCGAAAATGTTCAAACGAAATGTATGTGTGCGAGAGAGGTCGGGTCTGAATGTATGTACACACACGCACGCCCACGCGCGCGCGCACACACACACACACACACACACACACACACACACACACACACACACACACACAAATACTGTACACACCCACGAACACACCCACGAACACACCCACAAACGCACCCTTGCACACCCACAACAACACACGAATACACACACACACACAAACACATACTCACACATACTCACAACACATACTCACACATCAGTCAACTTCGCGAATAACGACATTCGGCGGGGCATCAGAAAAGTGTCCTTATTCGCGAAGTGTCCTTATAACCGAAGTCCCATTTGAATGTATGTGAACCCATATTTTGTATAGTATGACATGCATATCAAAATCAAGCTCTTTTCTTGCTCTATGTCAATGTGTACTTTATTTTCATATCGCAGTTGAAAGGAACTAAAAATTCAATATGCAAGGGAAATCAATTGAAAAATATGCCTTTTTGAGCCATCTACAGGGCCAGAGACATGTACATGTACACGTGTACATGTATGATGATTACTGTTGTGTATCGGTAGAAAGACTTTTCATGGCTCATTTTTGTTGTGGTCCTTTGGTTAATTTTGGTTTGTTTTGCGTTCTACTTTTGACTCTGTTGTCTGGGTTTTGGTTGCATGTATAGTTTGTACATGAACCAAGTAACGGTTACGTCATTGTCCTGAGTTATGTTTTGTTTGCGCATGCTCATATGCTGCCATAAATGGCATAATGTTAGTCTTTTTCTTCAGTTATCAGTTTACCTCGTCGTGTCCGGTCTTCTTGTCTGTCCGTCTCCGTCTTGTCAAGAAATTATGTAGAACTCTTAGTTCAGTTTCGTTGTTGTGTGTGGCGGGTCGGATGGGCAGGGAGGCTGGGCCCCTGACGCCTGGACAACATGTGCGGGTGCACAAAAATTACTGTACAATCATGTACAACTACATGCATGTACATGTAGGTGTGCGTGTAAATCCAACACTTTTGAAGCAAAATATAAAGGAAGAAAAAGCCCCCCCCCCCCTCCCTTGGCTGCATTTTCTTTTCTTTATCCATCACCATAGCTATGTTCTGGTACTTCTGCATGACAGGTACATGTACTTGACTGACAGGTACTTGAAATAGCTGTCAAAAGCCCAGAAAGTCGTTATTCAAGCAGTGAATATGACCTGGGGGCACTAAAAGCATGTCGCTATTCGCGAATTGTCGTTATTCAGATAGTCGTTATATCCGAAGTTAAATGCATGTAGTTAGATGGGACTTTGCTCCGGGCATGGAAATTCGGCCGTTATTCGCGAATTGTCGTTATATCCGCAGTCGTTATTAGCCAAGTTGACTGTACTCACAACACACACACACACACACACACCCACAACCCCGCCCCACATACACACGCATACCTTGCTCGGCTGCTGGGCAGCAGGGATGTCCTTCCAGGTCACAACAAGTGCTTGCACGGGGTGAAAATCACCAATAGGTGGCCTTGAGGAGTTCAGCACCATGTGAACAATGCTCTTCAATATGTCTGGCTGAGCCGAGCTGTTCACTGTTGCTACGGAAATGGTACCCAGTGCGCTGGAGGATGAGATATCGTCGGCATCCAGCCAGAATGGTGCAATCACAGCGGACGATTCCGGCAGATTTGGCCTGACCCGTCGGCCATCTTGTGAAGTGAAGGTCATGAATCCATTGCGTCTAATCTGGCAAAATAAGACATGCAGGCACACAAACACACATACGCATGCACGTGCACACATAGACAGACAGACAAACAGCCACACACACACACACACACACACACACACACACATACACATACACACACACACACACACACACACACACACACACACAGTGTACCATGTATACGCCCGTCGCAAGAGAAGCACGCAAATCCGCAAATGCACTGGATGTACACCCACGGATTTTCTCTTTATAGCAACGGTAGCGGATCTGATTCTGATTGAAACAGAGCAAGACAAGCGCCAGATACCTGTCTAATCCACACAACTGGCGAAGCCATGTGAATCGACCTCCCAATGCACACCTGGTCTACACCACATGGAGTACATCGGAATAGGACGGCCAAGACAGTCACCTATGCACACCCTACACTTGCTGGGGTAACCAGTAAGAGTATAGACAGCATGCTGCTTTGATAAAAGCAGACACTAGATGCACTGGCATCTTGAAGTGAAATTGGAGTATTACCCATACCTACCCATACCTCAAGACTGTCGTATCGCTGACTTCGAGAACCGAAAGCAACGCCACCAGGGAACTGTACCGTTTGCTCCCCAAATGTTTCTCCGGCAGCTACGATGAGAGACTGTGACAAATCTACAACAAAAAGAACAAGACCAGAGAATGGCTGACTCTTCTTGAAGCTTTGTTGCCATGGGGATACGAGTCAGGTAGAAAACACCCAGTCCACAAAACACTGCACATCTACAGGAAATGTGTTACTGTCAGTCTACATATTCTCGGTGCGTTTCAATTTCAGCCTCCCAGGACTAAATCCCCGTTCGGCCGCGAGCTGACTAGGGGTGCTGTGGCGCTTGCACCCCTAATAGAGGTCGAGGTGTGTCCGGTAGCGATCCAAGTTCCACCCTGGGTCATATCCAGATTCGGGATGGTTTACCCCTGTCGGACCTAGAGTTGGGGTGCAACCCACTCTGCAGCCCGCCCCTCACATAATCAGGCAAACAACCATGCAGTTTTAAATAGAGCTAAAACGATTATACCAATTACTTACTAGTGCTCGGTAATCGATTGATAATTCCTTAACAATCAAGTAATCGAGTTAAGAGTAACTCTCCATCACTGTAACTGGATACTATATACAGTCAGAAAGTGCAACAACTAGGCACTGTATATAGTATCATGTTGCAGTGATGGAGAGCTACTCTTAACTCGTATCCTTATGTCCTTTTCCTTTCTACATTTATTTATGGCTCAACATCCGAGTTTCAAATCAAGTAATCGTTACACCACAGATTACTCATTAGGGATTTTGAGTCCGAAATGTACTGAAACCCCTCGTTTTTGTGAAGTTTGAATCAGTTGCCCCTGTGAGCATGCAGTTGCCAGGGGAAACGTTCATATTGTGAGGCTCAAATGACTTCAACACTGCCATGTTTTGGAGTTACCCTTTCACGAATGCAGATCATTTCAAGTTTTTTGGTATTATGAAGACATAGCTTGTTGAAACAGAGTAATTTTCGCCAAACAATTCTGCCACTGTTTGCTAACGATTATGATCGACTAATCAATCGCTAAGCTAGAAATTAATGCTAGGTGAAAACCCACGATCACTTCAGCCCTAGTTTTAAATTATCCAGCGCAACAGTATCCAGCATGCTACTCACAGGATCAGGCATGCTACTCACAGGATCAGGCATGCTACTCACAGGATCAGGCATGCTACTCACAGGATCAGGCATGCTACTCACAGGACCAGGCATGCTACTCACAGGATCAGGCATGCTACTCACAGGATCAGGCATGCTACTCACAGGATCAGGCATGCTACTCACAGGACCAGGCATGCTACTCACAGGATCAGGGGCAGAGGACCATGCAATCTTTAAAACACCCGGGGCAGAAAGTTACCTTGGCAGCCGTGGGCGGACAAGAACTGGCTAGCGGGCGAGGCGCACGCGTTGCACTTGCTGCCGACGGTGCCCGGGCGACAGAGACACACACCGGTGCTGTGGCACCATGCGCTGAGTGATCCGGACTGTGAGCAATTGCATGCTATCACACACACACACACACACGCACACACGCGCACACACACACACACACATGCACATGCAGACACACACACAAACACATACACACAACGGTGCACGTCGAGAGGAGCCTAGAAGTGATATTGAATGACAAAGTGGTCGAAGGCTGTTGATTATCATCCTGAATATGAGAGTTTGTAAGTCATAAAAGGATATGTCTGCTTAACCTGTCTATACCACATTCTTATACCGTAAAATCCTGCCAGAGCGCCCTGTCTTTCCATGCGCCCCTTCCTGACTGCTTGGCAGGGAAGTGATTTATTGTATCCTCATACGAATGTGATGACGTACTGTACTGCAGACGGGTGCTCAACCCAGTTGAAAATGTACGCAACTGTTCCCACCCTCTTGACCAGGGGATCGGACAAACCCTGGGTTTGGACGGGTCTGTACGACTCCCTGCTCTTGACCTTTGGTCTGTGTACGAAATGCACGCAAAGTTTCGTAGGGTGAGTACTTTTCATGTAGTACTGAATGCGGCAAGTAGGACTCACCCATCCGCCCCTCGGACCCCCCCCCCCCCCCCCTCCCACCTGGACCTACTCGAAGAGCCGCGGAGGTAGGGGCTCTCTGGCGGGATTTTACGGTAACACTCATGCTTCTTCTGTAATTTCACAAATTTACGGTGTACCTTTATTTTCGGTACTTTCCCCCTAACCTGGCCTTTTTGCCCTCATGCCAAAAATTTTGAGCAATGAAATTTTCTGAATCTAGAGTACATGTAATGCCTACCGTAAAGTCGCGGATAAAAGCCAGGCTTACCACCGATATTTTTGCTACGCGCGACATGCGTAGATCTACCACTGACTACCGGTATGGCGGCAGTTTTACTATGCACCGTACATAGCGCACGCACTCTTGACCTACCCGATCCGCGCTTGCATAGAAGCCAGGCTTCTGCGCGCGACAGGCTTATGTGCATTTGACCCGTTTGATTTTCAGACTTCTATCCGCGATGTGCTTGTATGCAAACCCGGCTTTTATCCGCGACTTTACGATATATCCAGGGAGTAGTAAAATGCTGTTATTTTACTACTCCCTTGTTATGAACTGCTATGTTAGGTGCCTTATGACTCTTGTTTCACTATGTATGTTGCTATGCATGCTGTGGACACGCTCACCCATGCGCGCGCCTCCGGTCTGTGTGTACACCTCTCATGTCGTGCATGTGCTAGCTACGTACAGTTCACTTCTTGCTTTCACGTACAGTTCACTTCTTGCTTTAGGCCCAATTAGGGCTAGCCGCTGTCTGGTTGCAGTGACCTTGCTTAGCTGCGCTGCATACCGTATATTCTCTATTATAGGCACAGGTCTCAAACAATAGGAGGACAGAGAAAGTGTTTTTACTCCAAGTTTCACGCACTAAGCGATCATCAGAAAACTGTCCTCCTATTGTTTGAACCAGCTCTACCTCTCGGTATTGAGCACTCTGTTGGACAGCCTGGAACCTCTGTTTTATAAGCACAGGTCTCCATTACTAGCAAAGCCTCTAATACTAGCACACTGTGAGCACCTTTCGAAACATTATAAGCATGGTCTCTATTATTAGCACGGTCTTGGTGGAAATCAATGCTGCATGCATGATGATCTAGCATGTATTTCTTCTTGCTCCGGGATTGTATTAGTTGAAAAAATATAAGCGCAGTCTCCAATATAAGCGCGGGGTAGAGGGGTGATCAAGAGGGGTAGCGCAGTGTCAAGAGCGAATGCCTCATGGGCCTCTCGAATGATACTTTGTGAGCATGTGTTTGTCACTTCGTCACTTCATTGCTAAGCTACGGCATTATCATGGCAACTGAAGAATGGCTGTGACGTGACAATGGTGAGGTGCTGTGCTGTGTGGTGAGTGAGTGGACGGAGTGAATGCCCCAGGGGCCTCTCGCGTTGCTACTCGCCGTGCTATGCTGTGCCATCTATCAAAGTCACACCTGGCTATCACTACATGACTGTACTCTCACTAACACCCTTTATATTACTAGTATCCTCATTGTAGTCTATCAGTATCGCCTTTGCTTAGCCTTAATCTTCGCGCCTAAGATGCGCCATTATGTTTTCCCCCTTTTTGCGCCTAAGATGCGCCATTATGTTTCCCCCTTTTTTGTTACAAAAGGGTGAAGTTCACTATCTGTTAGCCATTCTTCATTATCAACCTTCACTGACGAGATCCTGATGATCAAAACAGCTGCTGTCTGAAGGAGCAGAGTACCAACTGAAGTGTCGTTTTGCTGATGGTGTGCTGTGGCAACGTGTTGAGGTCGGCCGGAGAGCTCAGCGGTGTGGTGTAGTGGTTGATAAGAATAGGGTAGAGGGGTGTTGAAAAAATATAAGCACGGCGCTTATAATAGAGAATATACGGTATGTCATGTCGCCAGAAGGGCACGACTGGTCCGCGGTCTGATTGACCAACCGTGTCGCGCGAATGGTTTGGTTCGGTTTAGCTTTACTGCTACATGATAGATATGATCTGCATGCATGTTGCAACAACAATGGGACTAGTGATGCGTACCTTCCATTGTCTTTGCTGCCTTTCAGTTTCTTAGTTTGTCCGCTAACGCTGTAGCTGGACTTCTTTCTTATATTGCACGTTCTTCTTTCAGTTAGTCAGTCGATCTTTAGTTCAGTGTTAGTTCAGTCTGGTTCTATGTCTCCCCCCAACTCACTTGTAAATATAACTCGTTCGCTAAATCCAAAGTGTTGCGTTAGTGCTGGGTGGTTGAACGTGGGTTCCACAACATCATTCTACAGTATAACTTACCTACGCACTGTGGTGTACCCACCGGACGATGATACCCGGTGGCACATTGATCACATGACGTGCCCAAGTAACCACGGCGACAGGTACACTGACCCGTAGCCGGGTGGCACTCGTCCGTCGCGCCGGCACCAATACCGTCGCACCCGCAGGGACGACACTCGTCGCCGTGACGACGGAAGCCGAGCGCGCACGCCTCGCATCGGTCTCCGCGGTAACCATGACGACACGTACACGCGCCGGTCGTCGCGTCGCAGGCTCCGGTGGAGGCGGTCGCGCTGCTGCACGTACACTGCACGCAGTTCGAGTGGTTACCGGCCGGTTTGAAGTAGCCGTCGTCGCAGGTGTGGCAGTGCCGACCCGCGTTGTGCCTGTTGCACACGCATTCGCCGCTAGCGGGCACGCACTGGGCGGTGCCGTGAAGACTGCAGTCGCATGGTACGCAGTAGGATCCACTCGAGTCGTAGCGCAGCCCTTCACCGCACACTGTCGCAAGGGCAATCAAGGTGAGGCAAGAACATGCACACAAAAAACACACACACAGTTGCGCTCACTGAAATCCGACCCAAAGTGCAAAGCTGGCGCCCTGGACCGGTTCCCATTGCATCATTGTGGGTGTACATATGTACGTCCAGCCGCATTCATTCCACTGCCAGGGCGTCATGGGCCGTGGAAGTTAAGGGTGCCAGCTTTGCATATTGGGTGGGATTTCAGTGAGCGCAACTGTGCTTGTATTGTATTCGTATTGATTTAGAGTGGCAACCAGAATAGGCAAATGACCTAATGACAATGTCACCACTGTATAGAGAAGCGAATGAAGAGGAGACGGCAAAACAGAAATACAAGAGATCACAAGAACCACAAAAGGCCGGCACGGTGGAAGAAAGTGGACTAGTATTAAAACGCCGAAAAAGTGGGCCAGCTGAAGCCGCCCCACTTTTTTGGCGTTTTTTTTAGCACACTGCAACAAAGCGCGATGATCGCAGCTCAGCTCAAACGACGTTACGTGGCAAATTATGAAGAATCCTTGTAAATCAAAAAAGTCAATGCATATGGCTGATTGGTTTGCAGGCCTGCCTGCGAATCATGAGGTCCCGAGTTCAAGACCCGCGCTGGTAGCAGGGAGCGTGTAAAAAGACTTTTTACGCGTGTTGAACGCGCCGACACCCACGGTCACCTTGGTACTCACAGCTCGGAGTGAGAATAGCAAGGATGCAGTTTACAGGGTTATGGGCCCTTACACGCCCGATTGGTTGAGAGACTCACCTCCTCTCCCCTGACTCACTTGTGAGGTCTGCATTCGCCACTAAGGTTAACAGGCATAGTGGTGGCCTGCGGATGCGAAAGCTAGTTTGTGTGTTTCTGAACATTCAAGCGATGCCGACGCGGATCCCGCGAATATTATATTATTAGTTACACTGAAATGGCACCAAATGCCTGAAAAATGCTTGCAATTGGCTTAAGTTTTTGAAATTTTTTCCCTGGGGAGAATAATGAAGAACCCTTGTCTCCGATCGTAGCGTCTTCTTGGTTTGTTGCAGAATCAAAAAGTCTTTCGTTGTAGTTACACTGAAATGGCACCAAGTGCCCGGAAATGCTTGCATTTGGCTTCAATTTTTGAAATTTTTCCAGGGGAGGACCCCGGAACCCCCTTCCATGGCCGCCCCACCTCCAAAGACGGTGCGACTGGCCTGCTGAACCTGTCTTTCCTTGTGCGCTTGCATACCGTCATACGCATTGAAAAACCTAGCACTGTTTAAATCGATTCAAGAATTGCCAGACACGAAAAGCTCAGTATAAGCGTGATTTGAATGGAACTACCGGTAGATGCCTACAACTGTAGCCATGGTGATCACTGGCTAGTACAATCCCGAATTTTGTACATGACATCACAGGGTGAATTTTGCAGTCCAGATGTCTCTGTTGTTTGTGCCCTCTACCGGAGGTCCCCTTTTGGAGTTGTGTCCGAACGGACCGCGCGCTCGCGCGCGGTCCGTTCGGACTGCATAGCGGACTGCATAGCTTGCGCCACGGCGTGCATGCGCAGGATTCGGTTACAGTATAACGTGCGTAATCTTGTCTTTCATCAATTGGCTCCAACCCACGACCCTGAGATTAAGAGTATGATGTTCTGCCGACTGAGAACCCCCGACGACATATTGCTTGTTCAAAGCGTGCGGTTTGGCCAAAGGTGCTCCAAGTAATAGTTTCATTATTAGCTCTACTGTCACCTACTGTATGTTAAAGTACAAATTTTCGTTTGGAATTAACTTTCACTATATTCGTTAGGGGGCACGAAATAACTAAAGTTTGTACCAAACTAACGTTGTTTTCTGAACGTTCAGGGGGACAGGCCTCGACCAAAAACGAAATTCAGTACGTAACAAGCCTGCTGGTGGAGTGATCTAACGAAAGATTTCGTGAACGAAAATTTGTACTTACACAGTCCTGTCAACTTCGCTAATAAAGACTGCGGATATAACGACAGTTCGCGAATGACGACAGATTTTCCATGCCCAGAGAAAAGTCTCATCTAACTGTAATACGTATATTGAGACTTCGGGTACGAGGACACTTCGCGAATAAGGACACTTTTCTGACGCCCCGCCGGGTGTCGTTATACGTGAAGTTGACTGTAGTCTCAACTCCGGTCGGTACGTGACAATAGACACCCTTAGCAAGCAACAGTAACACTATTTTTACAGTACTCGTACCTTGATCTCCCAAATAGCGTTGAAGCTGCAGCGTAAAAACGTTATGGGGGCTGATTTATCGTTGTGACCAAAGGTACGTGTTTTGGCCAAATATTGCATAGTCCGTACGCATTTCACCTTGTATCGCGTATATGGTGACATAGATGGTTGTACCGCACGAAATAAAAGCTATTCTCGTGGCCACAGCGTACTAAAAATAGCGTGCATCTTGCTAAAGGTCGAACCCAAATCACGGTATTTTCCCCCTTACGGTAATATCGTTACAACATAACGTTTTTTGCTAAGAGCGTCATTGGAAACTGGCACCCTAACTTTTTGGTGTCTCCCGCACATAGTTGTAGATATCGTGAAAACAACATTACACTCTGCATTGTGTGACCCGTGCAAGTACTCCTGGCCACATTTCAGGCCACAAAAGTCCAAAAACAGGGAAATAGAAATTCAGCCAGGTTTTGCAAAATTAGGACAGGTATGCCCTGGCAAAATGTATAGAGAAGCAGATCCAAAACCCAGAATTTTGAGATTTAAAGTGGGTTTTTGATCCTCAATTCGGCCCAAATCCGACTTTCAAAAGCCAGCGGGACTGTTTCCGATGAATGGACTCTAATAACAATTACTCACCGATATGATTGGCAACGGACACACCAGCAAACATGGCCATCAGGATCCCCAGAACAGCCTGTCAGACATAATGTACACACACACACACACGCACACACACACACATGTACACATACACACACACACACACATACACACACACACACACACACACCTCAGACCTCAGACATGCCCATCGCGGAAGCGATGATAGCAAACAGCTATGTTAGACATAGCAACTTGTGCTGGGATTACCCAAATTCAACAGCTTGCAAGGCTGACCGCCACTAATTTTAAGCCACACACACACACACACACACACACACACACACACACACACACACACACACACACACACATACACACACACACACACACACACACACACACACACACAGTTGAACCCACCAACAAGGTGTGCATCGAAATCGAAGTGAACCCTGCCGGGGACTTCCCACGATTTCAGTCCCCAAAGATGAAAGTAACACTCCTGGTCCCCAAAGATGAAAGTAACACTCCGGGTCCCCAAAGATGAAAGTAACACTCCTGGTCCCCAAAGATGAAAGTAACACTCCGGGTCCCCAAAGATGAAAGTAACACTCCTGGTCAATTACAAAACGCCTGGATTACAATAATACCTCTATCTGGGTGACCCAGAGGCTGTGCCCACGGGTTGATGGATGTCCAAAGCCGAAGGACCCGGCCCAGGTACACGCGAGAGCATTGCTCCTACAGTCAGCATTCATCTGTCAAGTCTGGCTGAACAGGTGAACAGGGGCCATCGAAAGGCATTTCAGGGTAGTACAGTCAGCCAAATGAAGTACAAAATTTTGTGGGGTCCGCTGGAATTTTTTCGAAATATAAAGCCCAAATCAGTATTGCTTCAAAGGGTACGCGCGCCAAATAGTGGTGGTACTGTAAAAGCAGAAATTTTCGGTGGTGTTTATTCGGTAACTTTGGTGCCGACAATTTTTACCTGAAATAAAACGCTACTAGTACTAGTACACTTACCTGGAAAACGGGTTTACTGAAAATGTTCCCTCCACCGAACCACCGATTTTGGAGAATACCGAAAAAATTGCACCACCGAAAATTTCTGCTTTTACAGTACATGTACAGTCAATACCGTAGTGACCCCCTCAGTAGCGTGTCTGATGCCCCCCCCCCCCCCTCCGTAGCATGCATGTCTGATGTCCCTGCTGTCCCTCGCTTGATGATGCCCCCCCCCCCTCCGTAGCGTGTCTGATGTGATGTCCCTGCTGTCCCTCGCTTGATGATGCCCCCCCCCCCCTCCGTAGCGTGTCTGATGTCCCTGCTGTCCCTCGCTTGATGATGCCCCCCCCCCCCCCTCCGTAGCGTGTCTGATGTGATGTCCCTGCTGTCTCTCGCTTGATGATGCCCCCCCCCCCCCTCCGTAGCGTGTCTGATGTGATGTACCTGCTGTCTCTCGTTTGATGATGCCCCCCCCCCCTCCGTAGCGTGTCTGATGTGATGTCCCTGCTGTCCCTCGCTTGATGATGCCTCCCCCCCCCCCCTCCGTAGCATGTCTGATGTCCCTCGCTTGATGATACCCCCCCCCCCCCCTCTCTCCGTAGCGTGTCTGATGTCTCTGCTGTACCTCGCTTGATGATGGCCACCCTCCCTCTACGCCCTCCTCCATCAAGTTCTTGGCCCGCACAGTCCATGTTGATTACTAGACCGGAATGGTCGGAGGAGTGCACTGCGCCTGACCAGCATAGCTCTTGTAGCACCTACTACAAGTACTCCTTTGTTGTCTTTGTATTTTATCTTTGTCTCTTTTATTACCCCTATTACTTTGTAGGGATGTGCACCTAGTATAAAAAAATCGCTTCAAGTCGTTACTTGGCTGAGCATGAAAATGGATGATCTGTATGTTTTGTGATGATTCTCCCAACAGTGTGAATACAGTGTACAGTACTTTTACACGGACATCGACAGTACAGACAGACTTAGTCCAAGGCGTTCAGCCCTCACAAGGCGCTGACCGGGCATAGTAATGTACAGTGTATGATTACGGTGTAAATGTGCCAGTGCAGTACCGGCAAGTATTATGGGTCGGTGCATGAACCGTGTCCTGTATCTGTACGTACTGTCATGAGCACAGCGGCATCCGCATCTCAGCGTACACAAGCAAGCACACATAAGCCCTTTTTGCACATTGATGCCATCTTCGTCGAGTGTCGGTCCATTTTCAACACAGCAAACAGTTCCATTTATGGGATGTGCGGCAAATTTAGCTCCGCGAAAAGTGGGAAACGTGTATCAAGCTCGAATCGGCCGCACATTCCAAAACTAACACAACCTCCCAGGAGTCTCTTACCAGTTGCATTCCGTAGCGGCTTCTTGGGCACTTCCACAAAATCACTAACATGTTCTGCTCCGGGTGGCAGGCTGCATTGGATTTCGGGCTTGAAATCGAGTCGGCAACGACCAATGTCCAACATCAAATAACTTGCATTTCACTTGAGCCTTGTTATGTACTTGTGTTCGGCACGACCTGCTCGTTTCGTTGGAATTGTTTTTTGGTGTTTGAACTGTATACGGGGTGCAGAGTTCGGAGTTCATCCTCTTGTCCCGGGTGCTTGCCCGCTGCCGCACCTCGTTGAAGCTGGGCGCATGCGAGCCTGCGACGCCGACGCGACTGATGTCAGCGATGATATAATCCAGGGAGTCGTAAAATACCGGTATTTTACGACTCCCTGGTATAATCTTTATTTTATTTATTTATTTGAACAAACGGCGAGGAGACAACAATTTGATAACCGCAATCAGTAATACAAGCTGGATCGACATTTGTGTACACTGTATTCATCGTCGGAGAGCGACGATTGTAGTGATCGTGAGAGTGCCGGTGAGAATGTTAGCGTTGTGCGTAGGTTTCGTGGTAGCAAGTCTTCAGTGTACAATCATCTGTTGGCTTGTCCTGATTGTTGCATTTCGTATTCCGACTCTTCATTCACTGTATTGTGCCGTGGTCGTCATGGTTATGGACTACAGTTAAAGGTTTTGGAAGCCATCTGTCAGCGTCTGTATAAGCCTAATTTGTGTGTACAGAAAGATAGTATAATTGGGTTGAAATTGTTCAAGTAAAGTGTCATGTTTGGTGCGGCCAAGCTTGGCCGTTAATGTTCTAGGTGTAATGTACTGCTGTTATTTGTTATCACTTTGTCCTTCCTTCTTTCTTTCTCTTCTTTGTTCACTTTTCAGTTGCAAGTTTAGTGTTAGTACACACATTCGTTATTGCTCTCGCTTTCATTGTTAATTCGCACTTGTAAATTTCACTGCTGTTGTTCTTATAATAGTAGTGTTATTTCTCTAACTTAGATTTTCTATAATAGTTCAATTTTGTTTTCAGTGTCCTTTAGTACAACGAAGATTCCTCATGAGTGTTGTACGAAAACTTGTTTGAATCCCTTCCTTTCTCTACACAATTTCTTCACATTTTTCATCGTTTTATTGCACATTGTCTCCACAGTTTTACAATACATGACTACAGTGTACACAAATGTCGATCCAGCTTGTATTACTGATTGCGGTTATTTATTTTATTTTTATTTTTTTTAAACGATTCCAAGCCTCTTGTACGGGCAAAATAAACACAAGTGCAAGGTCAACAGCTTACTGTGTACTGTCTGTAGTACCGAGAGAAAATGAGCTGAAATGAAATGGCTGTGATAACAGTCTTATACGGAGGAAGCTACAATGGCTGTGAAAACAGTCCAATAAGGAGGGAGCTAAAATGGCTGTGAAGACAGTCTAATGCCTAGCAAGGCGAGCCTCAGCCTGGACGAGGTCGACAGGCACAAGGTTGACGTGACGGCGGCGAACGGAGCGTGATCCTCGAACGCACCGGATCGCAGACCTAGCAAGAGAGAAAGCCAAGCAGCAGCGCATCCAGCAAACGACTTTGCTGTAGCTCTCCTTGCGCTTAGAAGCCAGAGCATCAGCAATCCGCTTGACGACGATGTTTGCCTCTGGACCCATTCCGCCGCAAGAGGAGAAGACCAGTGGTGTGAACGAGCCATGTTCAACTTGGTTAACTCTTTCGCCATACTCCCGCTTCTTGGCACCTTCCAACTTGCGATAAATAGATGCAATGGGCTGGGACCGATAGCTCGCTGCGTGGGGATAGAACACCCTCGTATCGAAAAATGCATTGCGGCTATGGTTCCAAAAGCCCCGCACCCGGATGTCCGCTTTATTTCAGGATTACGACTCGTAGATCTACCATGATTACTGGTAGGTATGAAACTCCAGACTGTAGCAACTTTTACCGTTCCATTGCAAGCTGCAACTACCGGTATCTTGTCGACATGCCGGGTCTGGATACGTCGTCTACGACTACGGTTTTCGTATCAGGGGTACGATTTTCAAACGGTTTATGGTATATGTATCTAATATTGACTGAGTACGAGGTCAATATAGGAAATTATTATTATTATTTGAACAAACGGCGAGGAGACAGCAATTTGATAACCGCAATCAGTAATACAAGCTGGATCGACATTTGTGTACACTGTATTCATGTATTGTAAAACTGTGGAGACAATGTGCAATAAAACGATGAAAATGTGAAGTACTTATGGTTGATAATATGGTGGTAAAGACACACCTGGCAATATGGCGGTAAACACACGCCTGTTATATGGTGGTAAAGACACATCTAAGAAGAAGATTGCCTGATGAGTCCAGCGGGGACGAAACGTAGATCTACGTTGCAATCGAGCTATGTCGTTGCTGTGTCATCATCTATGTGCCATGCGCTACTTGATGTACCAGCCTGCTATGCCGGATACCGCCAGCCATGCATCGACCAGGCGCCAGGCGCGAACTGATGGTGGTGGTGGTGAGAAGGAGAGCTCTGTGCCAGAACTTTGCAGCCTAGAGAGCGTGTGTGGGCAGGCGTGTGTTTACCGCCATTTTTCCAGGTGTGTCTTTACCACCATATTATATATAGCAATAAAAACTGCTTTATGGCAGTTTTCTAAAAAAAGTTATTGTGTTCTAGTCCATGGACCCCGTCTAAAAAGTAAGAAATTA